TCTTTCTATTTGTCCTGAATTCTGTAGCCTATAGGCATAGTGTAACTTTCAACTGATATTTAATGCCTTTGTCAAATTTTGGGAGGTTTTGGCCATGAAGGCCAGGCCTTTGTCAGACCCCAAGTTTAGGGGAAATTTAAACCTAGGAACTAATTTTTGGTGTAGTTTCTTTGTTATTATGGAGACTGTCTCAGTCCGGGTGGGATAAATTTTTATCCATCCAGAAAATGTGTCTATGAAAACCAAAAGATACTTGTACCTAAAGACAGTCAGTTTAAATCTCAGTCCAGTCCAGTTCCCATTGTTCCCTGGGGATGGTGCCATGGGCATGTATTTCTTTTGGCATTTTTTAGGTTTACCTGGGTACAGGCAGGCTTTGGTGATGTGGTCTAGCTGGGGGAACGTTGCTCATGTTATTTTTTCTTTTGGTGTGTAGGCAGGCTTGTGAGGCAGTCTTGGTTCTGGCAATGTGACCAGGTCCTGGAGGGGCCACACTGGTTCTAGGGTCACATTCGAAGTAGCCAGATCCATTGTCCTTTTCCCTTGTGTCTCAGTGGAGTCTTTTTGGAAGGAGCCCTCTTCCTTGATACAGTGTCCCATGCATATGAGCGATGGCAAAAACATATAGCTGTTGGTATATGCAGTGATGGCTTTGTCCTTTTCCCATTGGACTGCAGCCCTAGCATACCTGATGGTATTCTGGACGAAGCTGTTTTCATCCATGTACAGTCCTCATTTTCATCTGGCACTGGGACATCAGTTAAATCAAGTCCAGTAGATTGGATCAGGTCAGTCTCCTTGGCGTGCTCATGCAGGGGTTCATCTGGCAGCAGGTGGGTTGAGGGTCGAGGTCCTGTAAAACCTTATACAGGGTTGATCTGGGAAGAGCACTAATGACTCATCAGGGCATTTGACATCCATTTTTCTGGAGTTGTCCTCAGGAGGGCTTTAACTGAGTGAGAAGTGGTTAAGGAAAGTTTTTATTCCAAGGCAGTTTATCAGTTTTTTTTTACAGGTTGGCCATCCAGCTGATACATGATATAGTCTTTTAGATAGGTAAGCCATAGGCTGTTTTCATGGCCCCAAGGTTTGGGTTAGAACTCCCTTGGAAACGTCCTGGGCCTCATCCACAAACAAGTGGAATGGCTTTGTAACATCTGAGAGAGAACAAGGCTCCTTATTCAGTCTTAGTCCATTCTAGGGGTTGGTTCCCTTTAAGGATGGTATACAGAAGTTTTGTTACTTTAATAAATCTAAAAATCCATAGGCGACAATAGCTAACTGACCCCAGGAATTTTCTTCCCAGACCTGGGGAGTTAATCTCAGTCCATTATATAAGGGAACGTTGTTGCAGGTCCTCTAAATACCTTGGAAGCTGGGTGTCTTTGTTAACAGTTTGTTTTGGTTGTAGGAGATATCTCAAAAGAGGTGGTGGCCTTGATTCTTCCAGGGCCACCTGTTGCTGTTGCCTCCAGTCTCCTCTAGGCTTCTTGTCATCTGTCTTTCTGAAAGTTGTTATCATTGTTCTGGTTAACTTGGTAATTTTTAATAACTGTGACCTACTTATGTCCTCCAACGCTTTTAGTTTTTGTTACTTTTTTCTAATGTGTAGGGCCAAATGACTGACAAAGGGCAATATTTATGGCCTGCTGGTTTTATGGAGTATCCAGATAAGCCTTTCTAAGGCGCTCTAGGAACCCAGCAGGTGATTCTTGAGGTTCCGGAATCACCTCACCTATCTTAGAAAGATTTGTGGACCTCCTAGTAGCTGCCTTTATTCCCCCTTAAAAGGACTTGACGAAAGTTGTCCAGATCCCCCTTACCTTGGTCAGAATTGGGGTCTCTTGGTCAGGTCTCTCAGAGGGGAAAAACCTTTGTGAGCTGGGTTGAGGGAGTGGTGCAGCCTGGCTCCTCTTGCCTGTGCTCCAGAGGCTCTGGCCAGGGAGGCTCTCTAGTCTAAACCGGTTCCACTGTCACGGCTTTGAAGAGGGTGACCAGAGTTGCTGGCAGTCATGAAGTTTTTCAGGGAAAGGGGAGGATTTGGTGTTTTTCAGTTATACAGATCACTAGTAGAAAAAAAGGAACATATTTGATCTTTTGATGCCCAGGTCCCATTGGGTCCCATCCGTGGTTGCCTCCCTTGGGGAAGAAGGAGTACTACCTCAGTGAGAGTCCTCTCTGCCTAGTCCAGCCTATCCAGCCTAGGCTTGAGTCTGTGCTCCCCCCGCCCCCCAGTCTACAAGCAGAGCTGCCCTACCTTGCTCTGCTCCGGCTGGAATCTGCCCACAGACAGAGCCCCAGAGTCCCAAGTGGAAGAGAAGAGTTCCTCTTAGGCAGGCCCTGCAAATCGCCTTCGTCTGGCCACAGTGGGCAAAAAGGTCCTCTCTGCGGGGCCATAGCCCTCTGCTCTGGTCCTTGCCTCCCCCTCCATGGAGGCAGGCAAATATTAACTCCTGTATGGCCGCAGCCCTACTGCAGAGACTTAGTGGCCTGGCTGCCTGCCCGCCACTCCTATGCAGCAGGTCCTCCAGGCCAGCAGAGAAGCTCCCAGCCGTGCCTCCTCTACTGCCACCACTCCAGCTTTGTGGGTGCTCTTGGTGCCTAGCACTGGCCCAGCACAAGTCCTAGGGCCCTGCATTCTGCCATGGGTGCCCCACGACCTGCTGCGACCTTTCTTCCTGCCCAGACCTCTGCCAGCAGAGGAAGCAGCATAGTAGCAGAGCCTCTTTATTTTTTTATTTGTCCTGTGTGCAATGGCCCACAAACCACAGGTGGATGGATCAAACCTTTTCTAACATATTTAAACATATATTTCAGAAGAGCCAACTACTCCCCCTGGTAAATGACAGACTGACAGACTGAAGCACACACTTCAGAGGAGTCAACTCACTGCCCCTCCTACACAACAGATTGACAGAAACAGACAACAAATGAGATCAGCACAAATACAAATGCAGACAACAAAGCACTCACATGATGGCCAGCACACAAACCATTCATTCACCAGTTACAGAGTGCAGCCAATGACATCTTGCTCGGCTCCCTGGACACTAGGATCAAGCAGCTGTGTCCAGCCTCCCCTCTAAGTGTCCTTCCAAGGGTGCCCCAGACTCTGACTCACCTCTGGAGGCTTCTAGAACAGACGACTTTCTTCAAAAATCTTTTAGGGTGGGATATCAAAAAAAAAAAAAAACAAAACAAACAGTGGAACAACAGGGCAGCAGAGGGGTAGAAATCCTGAGGCCTTGAAACATCTCAAGGGATACCCCCTCTAGGAGTCTGCCCAGCCCACACTACTTTCCTGCCATGATCCCCCGAGGTCTGAGGTCTAAGTCTGTGGGATCTTGGTGGAACTTCCAAATGTTGTGGGTGCTTCATCAGAGAAGACCTCTCAAAGTTTTGCCAAGTGAAAGTCATTATTGGCCAGGACCACTACACAAGGTTGTCAGGAACCCAGGTGTATAGCCCCGAGTGATCTTTAGGCTAAGCTTTTATACAGGTAAAAACATAACCAGGGGTGAAAAGCTGAAGTTCCCAAGCTTACAGGTGGAGAGCCCCCTTAACAATTTCTATCCTATTAAGTAACAATCACTATTTTGCAGTAGTAAGCCAAGCATAACCTACAGAAGCCATAAATCTGCAGTTAGCAGGTGCACTCTGGGATAGTCTGACCTGTTTCCAAGACAACCAGGGTCCAGCTGATGTGTTCCCATACCCTGGGCCAACTCCCTGATAATTTCAGAGACCAGAATCAACCTAAACTTTAATATGGCATAGCTATGGTCAAGAAGGTGCCCTATTATACTTATTAAATACCCTTTTTGGGGGGGAATCTTTTTGAGACACGGTCTCCCTGTAGCCACAATTGGCCTGGAACTTGCTATGGAGACGAGGTGATCTGGATCTCATAGAGATCCACCTGAGTGCTCCTGAGTGCTGGGATTAAAGGCATGCACCACCACGCCCAGCTTAAAAATGATCATTGGTGTAAACATTATATACTTAAAAATGAACTTTTTGTTTATCATTGTGTTTTGTTTTTGGTTCATTGTAATGATGAAGATGGCATTTGTGCTGGATAGCTTTAGTGTCAACTTGACACTCCTGGGTAGAGAGAGCCGCAGTTAGGGAACTGCCTCCATTGGACTGGCCTGTGGCCATGTCTGTGGGGCATCTTCTTGATTGTTAAGTGATGTGGGAGGGCCTAGCCTACTGTGGGTGGTGCCACCCCTGGGCAGGTGGGCCTGTCTTGCATAAGAAAGCAGGTTGAGCATGGGCTAGGGGAGCAAGCCACTAAGCAGAGTTCCTCCATGGCCTGTGCTCTAGTTCCTGCCTCTAGGTTCCTGCCGTGAGTTCCTACTTTGGGCTCCCCGATGAACTGTGACCTGGGAAATGTAAGCCTAATAAACCCTTTCCTCCCCAAGTTGGTATTGGTCAGAGTATTTTGTCACAGCAATTGAGAAACTAGGACAGCATTCTTTAGTATTTAACTGTGTTATAGCATAGTAACTTAGCAGTTAACACCTTGGTGATATGGGATATAAAATACTTTATTCTTTTGGCTTTGCTTTGTTCTTTTGAGACTAGGTCTTGCTGTGTACCCCAAACTATCCTTGAACTTTGTGATACTCCTGCCTCAGCCTCCCAAGTGCTAGGATTTTATTTTGTTCTCGAGTCCTAATAATATCATGCCTGGTACCTCTGTCTCCCTTTCTGTCTTGCCCTTTCTCTCTGCCTTCATCTCTTGTTCGTTTGTCCATAGTATCACTTACTGTATATAATTGTAAATGTTTACATGTTTTCCCTCAATTGACTAAGCCCATAATCAAAGAGCCTCAGCCTTTTCATCCTTCAGTCTCCAGTGCCTAGAATAATGCCTGTCCAATATAGATGTTTAATTTATGAATTGGAAGCTCTTGTCTGGAGTGTATAATATGCAGCATAATATAATAACCTTTAAAAAGAGCAGTAAAACACCAAATAATTCTTAATTCTTTTAGAAGCTGGATAAGAAATCATCTCCATCAACAGGAAGCCTAGATTCTGGAAGTGAATCAAAAGAGAAATTATTGAAAGGAGAAAGTGCACTGCAGCGTGTCCAGTGTATCCCTGGCAATGCCAGCTGTTGTGACTGTGGTCTGGCAGACCCACGGTGGGCCAGCATCAACTTGGGCATTACCTTGTGTATCGAGTGCTCTGGGATTCACCGGTGGGTAGGACTGTGCAGAGTGAGAGACTTCCTTTGCCTTAAATCCACATTGTAAATCATTGTGTGGTTTATTAGAGAGTCTTTTCCATTTACCCGAATTAACTACTGGTTTATATGTTTGTGTGTTTTATAAAGTGGATAATTTCTACTTTGAAAATGTTTTTGAAGACTTTGGTTCATCATTATTAACCAGAAGATTAATAACCCATGTTTATATGTATGTAGGGCTAAAATATATATATATATGTGTGTGTGTGTATGTGTATATATACACACATCCATATATGCAAATAGAGATTTGATAATCTTATATTAATAAAATAATGCACTTTTTTTCTCCTATATAGGAGTCTTGGGGTTCATTTTTCAAAAGTACGATCTTTGACTTTAGATACTTGGGAGCCTGAGCTTTTAAAGGTAAGATAAATCTTTACATGAAAATAGTTCACATTTTCATTTAAGTGACGACTTTAGAATCTCCATTTACATACAAATTTATGGGTTATTTATGCTAACAACCAACTAAATTTTGTTTTGTTAACACGTTCTGAGGCAAATTTGACAAGTTTTCATGATGCAGGTTTTGAATTGCTCCGTCTATATAGCACTCTTCTCTTGTTGCTTTTTTTTTTTTTTTTTTTTTTTTTGTGGGTTTTTAGTTTTTTGAAATAGTCTTGCTATATAGCTCGGATGACCTTAAACTCCTGAGCCTTGGCTAGGGGATGCTGGGATTTTAGGTGTGCCCCCTCACCCAGCCCTTTGTAGCGCTCTTTATTCTTAAGTCTGCTTACTCTTTCAGAAAGCCTGTTTTTTAATTAACTCATTTTATAAATTTTAATTATGGTATTTTGTGAATTTATTTGGTGGATATAAAATGTGCGTTTCACTTGTGACATTTTCCCCGAAAACCTAACCAACTTTCCTAGAATAAATTATTGAACAGTGCTTTCTTTACCTATCATTTTGTAATTTCTCTTTTGTCCTACATTAAATAACTATAATTTAATTTCTGTGCTTTCAATTCTCACTCAGTGATATTTCTTTTATACTAGTACAGATTTTTTTCAGTATATATGTTTTATGGAATTTTTGTGCATTTTATGCACTACAGCTTAGTCATTTTTGGATCCCCCTCTCCTATGTGTACCCACTGTAGCCTTCCCACAGGACTCCATGCATTCTCTACTACTGATTCTTAAAAGAATTAGTATCTTTACTTTGAGATGAAAAATATGATCTATAAAACTGGAAGTTCTCAAAGGAGGAAATAGCACATTTTAAATTACAAGAGGTAGCTGTGCTGTGGAGTCTGGGAAAAAAATTGAGAGGGAGAAGTATTCATATCAAGGACAGGAAACCATGACAGAGCAAGATGATGTAGGTCCTCAAAGAACTGCTGCCTAGGGACAAGAAGGAGAGGGAAGCCATGCTCTCCTGTCTGCCTAATGTACACTTCTCAAGACACCCTGACCAGGTGTTTCTCCGTTCCTGGGTTCAGACCACATTTGATCTTGCATCTCCCACCAGCTTGCTGCATGTCCCAGTATCTGAAGTCTGTTCTCTGCAGCCATGGCTATATCGCCCTGATGTACACTCACTCTGTCTTTTACACAGCTATGCTTTTTCAGGGAAATGGTTTGGGTGATCTATATCTTGGCACAAGATGCATGTGGTCAAGTCTAGAACTGGGCACACAAAAATGGTGCAGTTCCCTGCCAAGAGACTATTGATAGAATTTAAGTTGATGTCTTAGTTATTTTTCTGTTGCCATGATAAAATACTCTGACAAAAGCAACTTAAGAAAGGAAGGGCTTATTTTAGCTCACAGTTCCAAAGTACAGTCCATTATGGTGAGGGAGTCCTGGCTGCAGGAGCTTGAGTCAGTGGTCACATTGCTTCCATAGTCAGGAAGCAGTGAGCCATGAGTGTTTGTGCTCAGTTTACTTTCTCCTTTTTATACAGTTCAAGAATCTAGCCAGGGACTGGTGCCACCCACAGTGGGCAGGTCTTCTTCCCTCCATTACCCTAAACACAATAGTTCGCTACAGGCAGGCCCATACGGTCCTTTCCCAGGTGACTGTATATCTCATTGAGTTGACAGTTGAAATGAACCATCATAGTTGGGGAAGTACAAATTGAAGCAGATGGATAAGTAGGAAAGAAAGTCTACAAAGTTTTGGAACATTTGACAAGAGGTTAGGAGTTGTTTGCTGATAGAGCTCAAGGAGGTACAAAGTCCAAAAATGAATTCAGTAAAGTTGTATGCTTGGTGAATTCAGTGTTTCTATAAAGTGAAAGTAAGGGAAAATTAAAAAAAAATTTATTGTTTTTATTTTATGTGTGTGAGTGTATTGCCTGCATGTATGTAAGTGCACCCAGGTCATTCAAAGACTGCAGAGGCCAGAAGAGGGCGTCAGATCCCTTGGAACTAGAGTTACAGACAGTTGTCAGCTGCCATGTGGATGCTGGGAATCGAACCTGGGTCTTCTAGATGAACAGCAAGTGTTCTTAACCACTGAACCATCTCTCTAGCCCCCAAGAAAAAAAAATTTTAAAGATATTTAATTTTAACCTATTGTCTAGATGGCTAGCACTCACTCCACCTGTGTGTGATGCTTTTTTGTCACACATCTTGCCCTGCTGTAGACAGACACAATCAGTAGTTGTAACATCTAGTTAGACGTGATAAATTTGATTTTTATTTAAAGATTTATTTTTCAGTATTTTTAATTATACATATGTGTGTGCCTGTGTGGGGGGGGTATGCACACGTGATGGTAGGTGCCTGTGAAGGTCAGAGACCTCAGATCCCCTTGAGCTGGAGGTATAGGCAGCTATGAGCTTCCTGACATGGGTCTGGGAACCAAACTTGGACCCTCTGAAAGAGCAATACAAGCTCTAAACCACTGAGTCATCTGTCACAGCCCCAGTTTTTAAATACAGCTATGTGTGTAGTATCTCTGGTTAGATAGATAAAAGGTATCTACTATAGGAGTGTTAATGTTACGGTAAAGACTAGGAAAAGGATAGGAATTTCACTCGTTGGCTCATTTTAACTTAAATTTCTTTGTGGAATGAGCAATTGCAGGATATAAAAAGGAATCAGTTAACTGTATATGCTTTAAGGACTTTTAAGTTTAGCTGGTTTTTAAGATTTTTAATTTATAGCTTGTTTTTCTCTTTTCTTGCCAAACAGCTTATGTGTGAATTGGGAAATGATGTTATAAATCGTGTGTATGAAGCTAAACTGGAAAAAATGGGAGTTAAGAAACCGCAGCCAGGACAGAGGTACTGTTATGATTACCTTAATGTGCTGCTTTCCTCCCTAGACAGAAATACAGCCATGACTTTATTTTATTGTAACTAGCGTGAAACACTGATCAGTGTGTTTAGAAGTCATTGTTACACTTCTGTTTAAACGTGCCTATGTCTGTCTTAGTTATATTCATTAGCCAGTTACACTTTATTGGGCAGTTAATCATTTGTAGTCTTTAGATGAGAGGGAATCTTAAAAATTAAGCCATACATAGGAATGTAAAAGCTCTCTGCCATTAAAGTAGTCCAAAATTCTGTTAGTGGTAGGCATTTAAAAAGAAAGAATCTGGAGCTGGAGAGGGTTCAGGTGCAAGGAAGAATTGGGTTCCCTAGCACTCTGTTAAAAACCGGGTGTGGCAGTGTGTGGATGTAATCCCAGGACTGGGAGGCAGAGACAGGAAGATCCTTGAGGCTGGCAGACCAGCTAGCCTAGCTGAACTGTTGAACCAGGTTCAGTGAGAGACCCTGTCTCAACAAATAAGATGGAGAGTGACTGATAAGACACCTGATGCTGACTGCTGGCCTCCACCTGCATACGCACACACTTGTACATATACAAATATGTAAACACACATACCACACATACAAAGGAAGTAATCTAGTCATTAATGTCTACAAAGATCAAGTTTCTGCTATCTACAATGAATAATTTTCATGATTTGACTTAGTTCTGCAAGTATTTGTTAATCCCAGACTTCATGGCTAGCACTGTAATATTATGAAATCAAAAGGGAAGAAGGCAGGTTAATTGCTGTGTGTGAAATTACACTTCATTTCTCTATAAGGAAGGCCCTCGAATGAGTTGCCAGGAGTCAGAGGCTTTGAAACACCAGGTTCAGTCATTCAGTCATAGCTTTAATTTTAGTATTCAAATTTCATTTGCTACAATTCTATGTTGAGATTTTAGCTAAGTTAATATAAATTAAATCAGAATTTAATATTTGCCATATGACTGAGTTATTAGACCTTGGAAGCTCCAATTTTTTTTTAATGTGTATGTGTGTATTGCCTGCATGTAGGTAAGTGCACTTGTGTTGTGCAGGAAGCTCCAATTTTAACCAAAGAAAAATAATAGAAATTAAGAAAAATTATAGAACAGGCATATTTTATGATCATATTATAAATTAAGAACATGAAATGTGGGTCTGGAGAGATGGCTCAGTGGTTAAGAACACTTCTTGCAGAAGACCTGGGTTCGAATCCCAGCACCCACATGGCAGCTAACAACTGTCTGTAACTCCAGTCCCAGGGGATCCGACAGCCTCTTCTGACCTCTGCAGGTGTTGCATGACATGGGTGCACTTACCTGCATGCAGGCAATACATGCATACACATAAAATAAAAATAATAAAAATTTTAAAAAAGAACATAAAATGTAGTATTTCCCTCTATAAATGAAGGACAGTGTATTGTTTTAAAGTAGATATCTTATGAAAAATTATGGCTATCAGTAGTTATTGTCATGTAAAACATAGGCTGGAGTATATACAGAAATATGTATTCTGCACACAGAAATTAAGAGAATCAGAGAGAGCCAGGTATAGTAGTGCACGCCTTTATTCCCAGCACTCTGGAAGAAGAGGCAGGTGTGGATCTCTGTGAGTTCAAGGCCGCTTGGTTTCCATAGTGAGTTCTAAGCCACCTAGGGCTACAGGGAGACCCTGTCTCAAGAAGACCCCCCCCAAAAAAAATTATGGATTTTCATTGGGTTTTTATATTTCATCTGTCAATGAAATTAGGTCATTAAATATTTAGACAGAAGCATGTAATGGAATGTAATGGCCATCACAGATTCCCCTTGTTTAAATATTTGCTTTAATTTTTTTTTAAGATTTATTTTTATTTTTGTGTCTATGTATGTGTCTGTGTCTATGTAACTGTATGCCACATGTGTGCAGATGCTCTTGGAGGCCAGAAGAGGGCATAGGATCCCTCGGAGCTGGAGTTAGAGGTGGTTATGAACCACTTAATGTGGGTGCTGGGAACTGAACTTGGGTCCTCTGCAAAAGCAGTATGTGCTCTTAACTAGCCCCTACAGATTCATTTTGAACCAGTATCAGAGTCAATGTCCTTGTTTGAAAATACTCAACATACAATGGCATCTTTTCAGTGTTAGCCATGCTAAGTGACTAAACAGAACATCATGACATTTTTGTGTATACCAGACAGGAGAAAGAGGCATATATCAGAGCAAAATATGTGGAGAGGAAATTTGTGGACAAAAGCTCTATATCATCGTTACCTCCTGAGCAGGAAACAAAGGTCACCTCGAAAGGCTGTGAAGAGAAGCGGCTGAGTGTCTCTAAACTTGGGCCGGCTGACCAAGTCAGAGCGGCTGTTCAGAGTTCAGGTAGGTCATCTCTTTTAGATGTTTTCTTGAGCTGAAGCAACTTTCTTGATGTTTTAATTCATAGCCATTGTTGTATTTTTTTTTAAATGCTAAAAAGATGCCTGTTTCCTTCTACATATTCTAAGGAAAAACTGGATTTCTATGTTTTTAAAACAAACTGAAATGGTACCATGATGGTTCACATTTCTAGGTAATGTCTGTATTCTCAGGGATAACAGTTACTTAAAATGCAAGGGGATATGGGAATTATAAGTGTATTGTGCCAAAGCCCTAAGTATCTGATTAACTACCTGATTTCCTTCCTATTTTTTTCCTCCTAAATTTTTCCCAGTAACGTTTTTTCCTGCCCTTTTCCCCTCTTCCGGCCTGCTTTGTGCTTTGCTAACTTGCATGTCCCCAGTGGTTGCTGTAAATAGCGACGAGGCCAGGCGGGAGTCTCTGTTCTGTCCTGATGAGCTAGACTCACTCTTCTCCTACTTTGATACCTCTTCAAAACTGCGCAGTAGTAAGTACTGCTCTTGTGAGCATTCCACGTCCGTGCCAGTGGTCATTGTGCAGTGTGGCCATCCTGTAGATGTTGCCCATTGTCTGAGGTTACACATCCACAGTCATCCAGTGATTGAGCTCCACTACCCCTGGCATTTTACGGGGTAATGAGATATGTTGCATCTCTGAAAATAAGCCTATTTTCAGGCTCTGTGATTTATGTTACAATAAAATAAGCGTTCAAAAGGATTAAAATTGTATTCAACTTATTCTGTTGGTGGTGGCTAAGTTCATGTTTACATGTACCAGCTCTTTTAAAAATCCTGTTGTTTGTGGGAGACTGCTTTCTAAGTGAATGAACTTTAATAACTAGCCTTTTTTTTTCTTTAACACAGTCAAAAGTAATGACAGTGGGATCCAGCAAAGCTCTGATGATGGAAGAGAATCTTTACCTTCCATGGTGTCAGCCAATAGCTTATATGAGGCTGGTGAGTTTTGATGAAATTCAGTGTTAATTGGTATAGTTTACTGAAAAATACGTGTGGCAAATGTCAATTCATATGTGTGTGTGTGTGTGTGTGTGTGTGTGTGTGTGTGTGTGTGTATTTCATATAGGGGCCAGAGGTAGACATCCAGTGTCTTCCTCACTGGCTCTCCACCTTCCTCTTGGGGGCAGGGAAGAGGTATGATTGACATACCGGGTGTGCTGCTCTTGTTTACTGCACACATTACAGCTGGTTTCCCACATGCACCTGTGGTGGCCGGCCACCACAGCATGGTTCGTGCTGTCTTGTAGTCTCCTCTGCTGTCTCTTCCTGGTCCCAGCCTCTGGCACTCTTCTGCTTTCTGTTGCTATAGCAGATGTTGCCATTTTCTAGTTTAGAAAAATGGGATCATGCAGTATATAATCCTGTTTTTTTAATTCAGCACAGTTACTTTGAAAATCAGCTGTTATTAATGACAGTTGCTCATTTCTTGTTTTAATTCTTTTCCAAATTTTTGTTAGATTTAAATTTGCATAATGAGAACCAGTGAAAGATGAAAGGCATAAAGATAAAAATATAAATGAAACTCAATGGAAAGGGTTAAATGTGTAGAAATGTGCAAAAATAGAGTACCATGTTTTCAGCAGCATTACTAAGTAGAAGAAGAAATGCATCTGGAAGTGAATTTGCATAGCACTTGCTAACAGAACATAGTCAGGAATTTAAAACCTCTCATAAATGGTTAGCTGCTACCCAATCAGTCATGACTTTTTAGGTTTTAAATAGAGCATAAATAACATGTACTGAGATTTAATTATATGGTAATTTTCTGCTGAAAGCAAGTTCTTTCCCATGGGTTCTTTTCTAGTTTCCTGGCATCTACCCTTCCTCATTCTCATGTAGATACTCATATATAAAAAAAATGAGCAGTTCAGATCTGCATTTGACAGAGACCACATGGGGTTTGCCTTTCTGAGCCTGGGCGATCTCACTTAATATATTTTCCAGTTCCATCTATTTCCACTTTAATTTTTGAGACAGGATCTCCCACTGAACCTGGAGCTCCCTGATTTTACACTGAGTTAAGGCATCTCCTGTCTCTTAAGAGCTCTGCCTGTCTCTGCCGCCCCTGCACTGGAGTGACAAGGGTAGCTACAGCACTGACTTTTGACATGGGTGCTGGGGATCTGAACTCAGGTCCTCATGCTGATGTGGCAAGGACTTTACCCACTGAGCCATCTCCCCTGCCCTAAATGTTAATTTATAATGAAATCATTTCTAAAGGAGGTGGCTAGTCTTAGAAAGTCTGGAGGGAAGAGTAATACTGTTCCATATGAGAAAGTGGCTATTTCTCTTCATACTGGAAGAGAGGTTGGTCATTCTTCCAAACCTCATGGCATGTGCTAGAAAATTTTAACCCACATGCCTTGTGATTATTAGTCTCTATCTTTTCTGTGACTCTCTTTATTGTCAGCAGATCCCTCCCCGTTAAGTTTTTCTTTTGATCAGTGGCTTATTCTTTTAGCCTCCCATGATTTCAGTGATTTTGGTCTTGCAATATTCTTAGGGGACTAAGCAGTCTTCAAATTAGTTAGAGTGAAAATTATGATGGCATTAGATCATCCTAAACATTAAGCAAGGCTTGCACTAGTAGTGAAACTCTTTAGGCATCTAGGCTTTTAGGAATATAGCCAGTTTTAACAGTAACTAATGTACCACAAAGACCTAGAATACTAGTTGATGCCATTCTAAGAGATGGTTGAATGTCTCGGGAATGATTAGTCTGTAAGAAACACAACGTCTGCCTGAAAAATCTGCCATCCATTCACTAGGCTAGAGTGGGGTTTTTTGGGTCTTTTTGAGACAGGCTCTCCCTGTAGTCCCAGCTGGTCTGGAACTCAATATGTAGACCAGGCTGGCCTGGAACTCACAGAGATCCGCCTGCCTCTGCCTCCCAAGTGCTGGGATTAAAGGTGTGTACCACCTCGCCCAGCCAAGAGTGATGGTTTCTTATGTCACAGTCTTTACTTCATGAGTTTAAGAGTTCACTTTTAAGATTGAGTTAAAATATACATAAAAAAAGTTGTTCACTTTATAGCTACTTGTTTGTCCTAAAGTTATCTGTCCTTACCATTTGTAAATGCAGTTCAGTGCCCTTTGTGTCTGTTCACTTTGTTATGCCACCATTACTGTCATTCACCTGATAGACTTCTTTTCATCTTGCAAAACTAAACTCTGTACTTGGTAAGCAATTCACCCCTCTTTGCCAAGAGCTCATTTTTATTAATGTGTTTGTGCTTGCTTTTCAGAAGGAGAAAGACAAGATCCTTCTGTGCTTCTTGACTCTAAACATCTTAATCCAGGACTTCAGCTTTATAGGGCTTCATACGAAAAAAACCTTCCCAAAATGGCCGAGGCTTTGGCTCATGGTGCAGATGTGAACTGGCCTAATTTGGAGGAAAACAAAGCAACACCACTCATTCAGGCTGTATTAGGGGTATGAATTAGTGTACTGAGGTTTTCATTGGTAGTAAAATGTAAAATATCATAACAAATTCCAAACAGCATTATTATTATCATTGATATTATTGCTATAAGATGGGTTAAAAAAGAAAGAATTCTCTGTGTACCAGTGATTTCTGAATATCAATCACTCTGGTTGTTTCTGCTTTTAAGGGAGAGGCAGCTAATGGCAAAAATTTCTGATAGGGATGACAGTGTGCGTTACTAGACTTCCAACTAAAGGAATCTGTACTAATTACTTCTTTCCTCTGCTGCTTATATAAAAATGTATTGCTCTTTCTTGTTTGTGTTTATAAGGCTGTATCTTTTCCTCTTTCAGGGCTCCTTGGTGACATGTGAGTTCCTCTTACAGAATGGTGCTAATGTGAACCAAAGAGATGTCCAAGGGCGGGGACCACTGCACCATGCCACCGTCTTAGGACACACAGGGTAACTGACACTGTTTAAATATTTAGGTAGCTTTTATTTGAAAATCTACTTTTAAATAATGTTTTGCTTCTCAGGTTAAGGTCATTAGGTTGTTTGTAAAAAGAATGCATTTTTGTGACTTACAGTGTCACGATGGAATCTGAAAGTTAAGGACTCTCATCCAGAAAAAAAGCTATGGTTAGTTTTCAGATTTGAAAATTACAGTGCTCGCTTGTGATCTTGATGTATCAATACATAGACCAGCTTTACTACTTGGCTTCCTCCATTACTGAAGTTGTGGTGATTTTGTTTTCAGCTGAAGTTTGTGTATGTTTGTGCACATACATTATCTTCACAGTACATACACACCTATTTTGAAGTTTATAGATTTTCCTTGAGGTACTTGTTTAATTATAAACTGAATTCCTAGTTTGGGTAGCTGATATTGTGGCTTTAAGCAGTCTTGGCTGTAGAACCAGAGGCCATGAAAATGGACTTTCTGTTAGAAAGTATTAATGAAGTTAAAATGTTGGCTTTTTTCAAAAAGTTTGTGCCTTGGGTGATTATGTTTTATGTAAGACATCCCAGAGTTTTCAGTTATTCCTGGATAAGCAAGAAACTATTTTTAAACATATGTTAATAAG